ATAGCTAGAACATTAAATCTCTCGGGTTCAGAACTGAGTGTGCTCTCTGTACAGTGTCTCAACCACATGCATTTTTAGGAGAGATTACATCTCTGTAGAATGGAGGAAACTTCTGACAACTTTTTTTTTAAATTAGCTCTTTGAAGCTGCTCTGAAATTTGACCTGTCAATTATAGTTGCAGGCAGCTGGATTACTGGTTATAGAGTTGATCCATTTTGTGATTCATGATGAATGCCTTTAACTAAATGGGTATCTACTTTCCTCCTCCTGTCTAATGTAGTAATTTTCAAACTGTGTTTCATGGAACCCAGGGGTTCCAAAATAGGTCATCAGAGGTTCTGCAAAGAGATTGGGGGTAATGGCAGAGCAAACGGAGAGGTGGTGAGCTGCCATTGTTTGGCCGGGTCACCTGGCTCTGCATCAGCTCACAAGGCCCATGGAGGTAGGGGTAAGGATTCCATGGCAGAAGTAGTGAAAGAAAGGGTTCCCTGACTTGTAGGCAGTTTGAAAACCACTGGTCTAATGGGTGGTGGTTTTGTGTAATAAGGCATGCTTATGTGGGTAGTCCACAGTATTTTTAAATGTAATGAAACAATATTTGTTGAAAGCCAAATATGGTTTAGGTTATTTGTTATGCCTCATACAGTAGCATAAATATTAAACATATTCTACATTATCTTTAGGAACACATGGTTTTGTTTATTTTTACAAGGCTGTGTGTAAACCCAGTTTGTCTTGAGTTTTGCTAAAGATTTTTTGCCTGTCACATTTTAACATGCATTAATGTATTTCGATATTTTTTTTAATAGGATGAAATAAACGAAGATGTGAGTTGCCTTGATGCAGGTGATCATGATAAAATGGAAATTAAGGTATGTATGTTACTTTTACAACTTGAACCTTTCCCCAGTTCAGCCATGTTTCTCTAACCCATTCTGTTAGTGTTAGTAGTGTCCTCCATGTTCATCTCATAGACTGCTTTGAGACAGAGGCTAATAAGTGAATTATTTTTCCATTGCAGTCTGTCGATTTTCAAACACACAAATTAAATCAGGCTGCTTTTATAAAATATGGACTAGCTGGTGCAGCAAGTTTTTATGCTTGCTCCTCTGTTATGGTCCATTTAAATTTGATGTGGCATTATCAGCTTCTCCTTCAGCTGCTACTACTTTAAAAGTCTAGTTATGTTAAGGTGAAGTGCCTGCCTGGTTCTCTGTCAGCAGCAAGGAGCCCAGTTTTATTTTGAAGGTTTATTTAAGTTAGTTTGTTTAATCATTTTCAGTATAAATGGGGGAATACAGAAGGTATGTGTATATTTCCTTTAGGTATGACGAAGCCTAGGGAACCTGAAAGCAAGCTATGCCTAAATTCCCGTTTGTATTTTTTTCATATTTGAGGTCCTACACTTCTTTTAAGCCTAGAAATTGAAGTTTAATTATGAAATAAATGCCATCAATTGTACTAAAAACCTTTGTTTTTGGTATTAAACCAAGAATCAAGATGGGTATTTATTTGAATGCCTATTTTAGTTTTAGGGAGATTTGAGTTTTATAGTAAAAAACAATGTGTTTAATGTTATGTTTCATATAGAGAAGCTGATCTGTTTAGTTACCAGTTATTTCCCTATTGAAATCAGTGGGAGAGTTCTCATTTTAGTCATTATTTCAGGTTCATGGCAGACTTAAGGAACATCATGTTACAGTGGTTCACAATTATAAGAGTGCTTTCAAAATTGCAAGGACTAGAAAATGCAAGCAATTAAATCTGTAGCAGATCTTGTAGCATTGTGTGTGCATGTATTTGACATGCTATTCACATGTGAAGACACTTTCTAGCATTCTAAACTGAATATGGGGGAACACACTAGAAATCTTTATTGAAACTTGGGGCCCAAAAAAGACAATTTTTTTCTATGTGTAGAGACTACACAAGGCAGACAGTAAAACAAGTGATAGATCAATTATCATGTAACCTGAAAGCAACGTAAATATGAAACGGGCATTACCACAGGCTGCTAGTTATTCTAATAGGTAATCAATTAATTTTGTGTTCTGCAAGAATGGTTGGCAATTTCATTGGGCAGTTATACTTGCCTCTCTTGCCCTGTGCATTTACAGCCTGAGCCTCTCTGATTTTAATGGAGTTCTGTCTTGGCACATTCTGTCAGGATCGTGGCCTATGTTTAGAATGTTATTTGTGTAGCCCATGAAGGATACCTATAAGCAGACTAAGTTATGTTTTTGTTGCCCTTTCTCCCCGCCCCCCCCCCCCATCTCTCTCTTCCTTTTATAGGAACAACTTGAAACAGAAACTAATATTACTTCCCAAACAGAAACTGTGCAGACAACAGCATCTCTGCAAGCTCCTCAGGTACTGACATAAAAAATGATGTTTCATGCACACAACTACATGGATGCAATTCATGATAAAGCATGGTAATAATTCATGATAACAAAGCATTCCCAAATTCTAATAATACAGGGAGCAAGGATTTTTATAATAGCAAATTTTGTGATGTATGGCAAGCTAATTGCTTGCTTATAATCATAATTTGTTTGTGTACACACATTTTAGTTCTTAAACTTAACATATAACTTCAGCTGGAACACAGTCATACAAATTCTACAGAACTGTGCCCTTAAACTTTGAGCTGTGTGTTAAGCACCAATCTCTTTTTTTTTCCTTTGTACATTATGATATAATCAAGGAAAACTTCCCTTTAGGTGGCTGAGCACAGGGCACAGACACTGGTGTAACTTTATATGGGTTTACACCCATTGCTGAGATAGACTAGGGTAGCTTCTTGCAGGTGATGGTTTTATGGTTCCTCACCATTAGATGCCACAGGAGTAAATAATAACCTTTTCTGTTAAGAGAATGGCAAATCAGGGCAGCTCAACACTTTGCTATAATATACTCTTAACTTTTCTAAGGTCATTCTATGCTGAATTTAAATAACACTGGAAATTTTATGTCTTCACTGACTATACTGATGTGAACAAGTCTAATGCTAGTGTAAAAATGTTGTATGCTCAAGTCTAAGGTCAGTTAAATACTTGCTGTTCAGGGGTGGTTCATTAAGCCTTAAATGTGTGAAATGTAACTTCAGATTGCAATACCTAAGGTTGGTGAAGTAGTATCTCTGATCTGATAGGCCTGGTAGCAGTTGTTTGATCCTTACTCTATAGTATCAATAGATAATATAGCTGCTCTGCCAACTTTTTAGTAAGCTTTTTTCCATAAGTAACATTGTTTCAGTTATAAAACAAAATATTTTTACTGAAATTTGAAATTATTGTTATTGCTCCACTGATTGCTGCATTATAATAAACCCAAGTACCCATTTTTTCTTAGTGTTATAACCCTCTCCTTCACCCTTTCTCAGAGAGAGTGAGAGGAACAAACAGAGAGAGACAGTTATTGAGGACCAGGCTCAACAGAACTCTTGCTGAATAACGGAACAATAATTCTGTTATTGGTAGATCATTAGGCTACAGTTTACAGCAGATTAAATGAGACTTCATCTCCTGTTGGGAGGCCTGGTAAGGATATACTGGCTGTAGTCTGAGGCCTTGACTAACTCATAGTCTCACAAGCCCAGTGTTTAACACTATTTAGTACACAGCAGAAACATAATATTGAATATAGGGGGTCTGATACCTACCCAGTGAAATGAAACAACATAATGAGGTGCCAGTCGGAAAGCAAGCTCAGAAGGCTACTGCCAGGCCCAGACTCTTGTCTTCCCCAAGGGGTGGAAAGAGTACCTGAGCGGCCTACTAAAGTAAAATAGCCACAGTGAAGAATATGTGCTCGCTTGTTCCTGCCCTCTGCCTCAGCATCCCACAGGAATGGTGGCCGGTACAGACAGATGCAGCCCCCCAGCCTATGCAGGAGGGATGGAGTCAGTCCCCAGAGGCAGGACACTCCCTGGTTCAGTCCTGTTGGGGTACATGGGGATCTGCTTTGCAGCCCAGCTTCTTCCCCAACTCCTCCCACACTCCCAGGGCTAGTGGGAGGGGTTGTGAAGGTACGTGGCTATGATCACTGACATGCAAGTCTTGAGGAATAGCTTTCACAACAGGAACTACACTCGCCTCCTCAGGTAGACACATGGCAAATAATGGAAAGAGCAGGGCACAGCCTGATGCTGTCCCTGCTATCCTCATTTGGCACTAGCCTCTTCACCTTCATGGCCACTATCACCCCCTTCTGGTTTCCTCCAGGAAAATGGAATGTACAAAGGGGGAAAAAAACATAGAAAATTTGGCCAGTGTGGCCTAGAAAGTGGGCAATGTTACATTTCTTTTTTCTGTTTATTAAATCACCTAAAAATGTAGTTGTGGTATACTTCTGCATGCCAGGGATGGGCAAAGTACAGCCTGCAGGTTGGATCTGGCCTATCAAGAGATTTTTGTCTGGCCTGTGGCACCTGCCTGGCCCAACCCAGGTGTGAGGAGCAGCCCAGGCTATGGCATATGCAGGTGAATCTGCTTCCGGGTGTGCTGTGGGGCTGGGGTGGCACAGTGGTCAGATTCACTGCCAGTTTCTACTATCACCAGATAATGGGCACCAGTTCCGCAGGCAGAGGTGTGTGGGGAGCAAATTGTGGCTTTGCCCTGGGCCACAGTCCCATGCTGTCATGAACCATCTGTCCCAGTCCTGGACTTCCCTGCCCTCAGGGTCCCAGCCAATCTCCCTGGAGACCCCAGAATCACTGGGTGGTGATGGCACAGGATTGGAGCATGGGGTTGCGGCCCAGGACAGCTGTGATCTGTTCCCTGTATCTCCCTGCCCACACAACTAGCATCTGTCACGTGCATGCAGGAAGCAAATGGATTGCAGCTTTGCTTTGGGCCATGAACCGTGCTGTCACCATCCAGTGACCCTGGCACTGCTTGCCCATCCTGTTCCTGGATGCCACTCCTGCCTGCCCACGACCCCATCCAATCCACCTGGCTGAGCACAGGGCATAGCCACTTACGGAGTTTGGATGAGCTGGGTGGGGGGTGGGAGGAGATGGGTGCATGCTGCTGACCCAGCCTGTAACAGTTCACTAAACTCCTTAAGTGGCCCTCTGGCCCAAATTAATTGCCTCCCTCTCTTCCCCCACCTTGCAGCCCTCTTCTGTTTTCACTGTCACACGCATCAAAACTATCAATTCATTTAGATGAAAGGACCCACAAACAAAACAGCTGTTTTTGTATAATGTCCCTTCTCATCCACCAAAAACTCAGGACTTTTGAACCAGTTTATACCAGATATGAACTACCCAATAACTTATTAGAAAGGTAAAGAGTAGTTTGATTGCAGTGATGTCATGATGACATTTCAGGAAAATGAGCAGGAAAATAATTTTTGATCACAATAAGTGGTTTCTTAAGCATATAATAATACCTGCTTTGTTCATAATGAATCTTAAGTCTCTTATTTTGTGTGCTTCTATTCCTTAATTTGCTTTGTATTTAACAATCTTGTTGCATTTGTGTTCACTCTTTCTCTTCTTTTTTCATAAATAAGAACAAATTAAGCTAGTTTAACTTTTTTCCATGAAGCAATTCCAGATTCGTAGTACATGCTCATGGCCATCAGCCAGTACTAGGTTATTTATAGGGGTGTGGGGTTTTTTGTTTTTTGCTGTGAAAAGTCTAAGTGAGAGTTGGGCAGTGGTAACAGGGCAAACTCTGATAAAGCCATTTTGAACTAAGTGCAGTACTGAGAATTTTTAGATGTAAACAGTTTTTTTTAGTTCTGACTGACAAGTCACACAAGGCTTTCCGATGTTCCATTAATTTGCTTGTAATGTAAAACTCCAGTCATCAGTATTTGACTGCGTAGGTTATTTCTAAAATAAGACGTTACTCTAAATGGGTGTACTAGTTATTACATCCACAAGGGTGTATTGTATATCAAATAGATAGGGACCTACTGAAATCGCAACAAAATGAAGGGCTTTTCATAAGCTGCTTGTGGCATGTGGTGCTGATTTTCTTGCAGTCTTTTTGCAGCAAATCCACCCCCCATCCCTCCCTCCCCAAATGCAGATTATTGGCTGAGCGGCCCTGGCAGCCCCATCCCTCACTGATTGCCCAGGAGGCCAGTCAGTCATCTTCAGAGTACAGCATTGCATCCGCCTTAAAAGATGATGCCAAAACCCTTTTGCTTTCCTGACTGGCATCTTCACTGAATCTGTTGCTAGCTCAGCCTCTCGGTAGCTGTCTCTCAAACCATGTGCTCATAGCTGGAGGGATTGCTGTGCTTTCTTTGGATTCCAGTAAGCTTTAATTTTTTTTCAGGTGATTCCATGCAAAATCGTGGGAAACGCCATTTTTCGCAGTGATCGTGGAAACTGCCATTTTTCACGCTTTACGCAGAAATCGCAAAACGGTGATTTAAGTAGGTCCCTACAAATAGTCTAAAGCCATTTTAAATAAATTGAAAGAACAAAAATCAGATGTTTGTATCCCTTATGAAGCATCACTTCGAGTTTAGTCCTGCTTTCCTTGCAAACCCTATTGCAGGTTAGAAGTTTCAAGTGTTGTATCTTGCAAATGGGTTTGAGTTTGTCTGTAGGGGTTTTCTTCCTCATTTCATAAGCCTGTAGAAAACTAAAGGTGTTCTATGAGAAGGACTCTTTACAAACTTTCTTTTCTATTTTTCTCTGGAGAAACAAAATGCTTGCATTTCTCTTTGCGATTAACACTATTCTTGGTGTATTTCTGGGATACCCAAATCAATTCAATAGACTTTAAAACTGGTGCTCAAATGTTTAGATCTTCTGGAATTGAAATGCATCTAACGCTTTTTCTTTTTTTTTTCCTTCTTCCTCCTAGAAAACGTCCAGTACAGACCTTTCAGATATCCCTGCTCTCCCTGCAAATCCTATTCCTGTTATCAAGAATTCAATAAAACTGAGATTGAATCGGTAAAGAAAAAACAACCTCAGGGGTCCATAAACAATATCTGCCAACTCAACCTGTTGTCTTCTAATGCTTAAAAAAAAAAAAAAGGAGAACGGAGGGTGCAAGACTAAAACATGACTGCAAATGGATTTAGGTATATTTTGTGCACTTCCCTTACTGGGCTGTAATCACCACTTGATTGGAAGTCCAGGTTAGGACGTGAAGCCAGGAGTACTATTAATGTGTTAGCAACAGTTGCATTTAAATATTTCAAAGGATTACTGCCTTTAAAGATAAACATGAACACTATTTGTAGCCATACTTGACATTCTGATTAGATTTATGTTTGATGCATTGTTTGAAAAAATTGAGATAACTGGCATATAAGTATCCCTTAAATGCACTTTTATGTACTTTTTTATTGGAGTATGACTAATTTTAGATCTTCAGCTGATATGCTTTCATTTTTACTGAAGAATCTCTTCATTACTAACAAATCTGCAAATTGGACAATGTTCTGTGATATTCTGTACATTGAAGAAAAAGTGTATGGTGTATCTAGTTCTACTATCATCAAGTAGCAGTAAACCTTTAAAATAAAATGTCAAATCTTGAGGTTATATGACATGTTGAGAAAATAATTGGGAAGTATTTGATGGGACATAATTAAGATGTGGTTTATTTTTATTTATAGGATTATTTTATGGTGCATACAAATCAGCGATCAAACAGCAAATAAACTTTCCTTTGAGCTAATTAAACTTGTTATTCCCTTTCTGATCCTATTCCTATATTTCTTGGGAAAAGCTTTTCATTTAGTTGGGGGTTTTTTGTTTGGTTTTTTTTGTTTGTTTTGCAGCTTGTATGCACAAAGTAAGAAATTGTTTTGAAAGCAATCTCTTATGTAAAGTCACAGTGTTAGGTACATACACCCAGTAACTTGTAGCCCCGAGGCACAAACTCCAAATTTTTGTCCCATGGCTAAAACGTCAAAGTAAATAAACTGTGCCTGTGAAGCGTAACACCTGTTGTGATGGCCTATTGATCACTAAATATAAGATAATTTTTGTACACTCCATGGAAGTCCTGTCTGCATTAAGAAGGTCCAAATTTTAAATTAAGTCAAAATATTGTTCCCCAAAGATTTTAACCTTTTTATTTTTAGATGGCTCATCAGAACTAGTTTTACATACTGAACAACATTGACTTTTAAAATCATATTTCTAGTAAGCACTTGGCATCTAGTAAACTCTGTTTAAGCCTCTCTTTTGTTCTGTAGTTCTGTCACAAATTTAGCAACATTTTTTTTCTTTAAAAGAACTGACTCATGGATAAGCAGCAGAACACCAGTGTCTAGGGAACATGAGTGATGTCAGTGATACCAGATGTAGATAACAAACTTCATGTTACTATTACTTAGTCTGAAATAAATGGGATGGTAAATCATAGTTCCCATACTTTCTGATTAGCATGTTTTATAAACTCCCTGCTCCCATTGTGCTCCATCCTATTACATGTGCATCTTTCATGTTAAAACTAAATTACTTACACTCTTCCCCTTATCCTTTTAAATTAATTTTCCAAAGTCAGAGTGTAGCTTACCTTTCTTTTTTTTCCTTAGGCTGTGCAGTAACTGAGAACTTTTTTTCTTTTTTTGCCATTTGTCTAAGATGTCTGGTATACAATATTTCTCTCTTCCTTGCCCTGTGCAGCCTACTGTTGTCCACCCCCCAAAGAAGGTTATACTAACATTTGAAGTGTACAAGGTGTCTGTGTATTTTGTGTAGCTATGGAGTTTAGATCGAAATTGCCAGGCACAAATTTAGTCTTGTCATTTTGTTTACACATTCAGAAATCTTTTTTTCATTTTATTAAACGTTTCATGTAACTGCACCCAAGTTTTGCCAAGCTGGAAACTTGGAATCTTTCTGTATAGTGACTTTTTAATTCTAGTTTTCATAACCGGGAGATCAGACTGTTGCTTTCGCATGATGTACGTAGTGTCCCATGACTGGAGTTTGCTTTGTTTTATAGTATCTGTACTCCTTGTATTTTTCAAGAGCTATTTTGTAAACAGATGATGTATTTCTCCATTGAAAACACAATAAAAAACAGCACAATCCCATAGTTGTCTGATTTTTTTTCCCCTCCCCCCATGTCCAAAATTGCTTTACCGGTTGTTTATTTCAAACTTGTCAATTAATTTGTTCCTACTAGCATAGAATGTAAGTGTCTGAAATAAGCATCACATAAAAGAATATTCTGTAAGTTAGCATTGATCTTGGCTTTAAAAACTGCCAGTTAGTTAAAAGAAAATAGTTGCTGTTGTGTATGGGTTTTTTGTTTTGCTTTTTTTTTTTTTCTCCCTAGTTTATTTTAAAAAGAGTTGAACTCAGTTGAATAATACCAATTTCTTGTTCTCTCATTGTGATGCCTAACTGATCCTGGGACATGGGAGGGGGGTGGCATTTTTATTTTTATCTAAGGTAAAAACTATTAATTTGAAACGGTATTCTCTAGTGTACTCTAACCAGCATGGGACTTCTGGTTTCCTTGGAAATGATTATTTCTTAGTTATCAGCAGATGGCACTCTTTCTCTTTTCTTCCAATAGCCTAAACATATACTGAAACAACCAATTCAAAACTAACAGTAGTGCAGCACTTGATCTTACTCTTAGTCCATCACCCCAATCCTGCAAACACTTAATGCAAGTATCTTTAATCAAATGAGTAGTGCCTTTAACTTAAATTTATTAAACTAATCAAGCTACCAATGACAGTGGCCTTTTTATTAGAATTAACCTACTTAAAACAACAAGCCCTACTGTGAGATTATTCACAACATTCAGTTGGCTTTTTTTTTCCTTATTAACTTAAAAACCAGTTTGTTCCTAGGTACCTTGCACTCATGTCACTGATTTACTACTTAAAGATATTGAAACTGGTGTACTTTTAATGAAATAGCTACCTAATTTCAACAGTCAGTTGCCTTTTAGGTATGTTTAATTTGAGTCAGGCTCTACTGAATTTTTAACTTAGCTAAATTTGTGCTTGTTGTTGTTGTTGTTTTACAACATTTCTTAACACAGACTTTTGCTCTTTTAAGACCTGTTGCATTGGTGGTAGAAAATGAAGGTTATCTAAGTACTAATCACAATACAAGAGAACATATCAGTAAAGTACCCTGACAAGTCTGCTCTTAAGCTTCATATTATTGATCCTTTTAAATAAAAAGACAAACTGGAATGTTATTGCTAAGGTACCAAGCATGCTACTAAAGAGTCTGGACACTAAAGCCAGAAGCCATACTCTAATCATAACAACACTCAGTAGTAAAATGAAAATAGCTTTTTGATGTTTGTTCCATTTGTTTGTGTTCTTATAGTACGTGTGTTTTGCAAGAGAGGTGGCTACTTTTGAAGACTCTTGCGCGTTAAAATGGTCATAACATCTGCTGTCTTAAAAACTTGGCTGTGTCCACTTGTCAAGTAGCTTTGGGTGTCTTGCATCTTGTGGGCTTCATTGCAGCTGAACAAGATGGTATGTTTTAAACTAAGGGATTTGTAAGTAAGAATCTCCACTTTCGCTCTATTCACACCTCATAGGTTCACTTTAAAAAAAAAAAAAAAAATCCCAGTATTCATGCTATAGAACATGGCAGCAGTGACCATTTTTGTTTAGTTTAATCGTCTTTAAAGAAGTAACAATCTATTCGGTAGAAAAAAAGCCTGTTGGATTTGTTGATAGAGGCAGATGCAATTTGATACATCTACAAAGTTCAGACTAATATTTGAAATATCTACAAACATCAAACATCTGCCACTATCTTCACCAAAAGAATGTTAACTTTGATATCAAACTTCAGAGTGTACTTTTTTTATAATGAAAAAGATGATGCACTGAACCACTGCTGAATGTCCCATCTGTTTTTTGGATATTTAAACTTAATTTTTTTAAACAAATTTAGGCATGCTCATACTGTTTGTTATGTCATTCTTACAGGGTAATTTTTTTTTGAGTATTTTCACATTTAAAGAATTTAATTAGGTCATGTTAACTAAAATATCTGCATGTCTTGTATGTCCATTTTAATAGTGTAGTAGAATGCTTTTACTTCATCTGTTTAATTAAAATGAGAACTTCCTGTGTATTCCAATTTTACAGAATTAAACTTATGAAGTTCCAGAATCAGAAAACTGATTCTAATAAAACTGCCACAAAAACTAATTCAAATAAAACTGGAAAAAACTATTAAATATATGCAGATATTATAAAACACTGTTTTCAGTAAATTACTATTCGTAAATAAGTTGTATTCAGGCAAGATTTAGTTGTGGTAGAAAATAATTTTTTAAAAAACAAAACACTATATTGATGTATAAGAAGCAAGGTGAATCTCTTTTTTTTTTTAATTAACAAAATAGTCAATGCATTTACACAGCCTTATAATATCAAGGACCCACACATACTGGACAACTCCATAAGGGAGAGTCTTGGATTTGCCTGTTGTCCCCCAGTTGATGTGTGTTTATTTACAAACTAGCAAATTCTGCTTCATAATTTTTTTTTGCAATTATCTTCCTAAAAATGAGTTTCCCTGAAAAAACATTACCCTTAATAAACTTATGTAGTTTAAAAAATATTCTGATTCTGATTTTGTTAAAGTTCATTGCAGATAATTATCTATAGAAGCTGTTTGTTTAAGTAGTGACTTAAAGCTAGATAGTATAGTAGATCCATACCCTTGACTTGCATGGGTGCTAAAATAGAGTTGCAAGATGAAATCAATTGAGGGGAGTTTCTCAGTTTTGAAGGTCGTAAATGGTTTTATTTTAATACAGATTCCAAATTCTTCCTCCATTAAGATGCTAAGCAGGATTAAAATGTGTGCTTTTGATACGATTACATAAATGTTAGTTTTATGGACTGTTGCTGTTGCTTCAAGCCCACTCCAACTTCTTTAACTGAACAAGTGTTGTACGCTGTGTGTCTTTCTTCTACAAACCCGGCGTGTGTGTGTGTCCTTGTTTTGTGTTCTCAGTCTGCAGCGGAGCAGTTAATAAAGAGATTGATGATAAAGTTGTTGAAAAGAGACAGTTGGACAGGATTGCTCCCCGTGAGTGACAGAGGGCTTGCTCTGCTTTCACAGCCAAGAACGTTGCCCCCAACAGAGAGCCGGCCATGCCTGGACACTGTGCCAAGGCTGTTAAGCGCATGAAGAGAGAAGAGTCTTCAGCTGTGTTATGGGAATTCTATTCAGTTTAGCTTACTAGAATTTGGTTTTTAATTTGGGTTTTGGTTGGTGCTGTGTGTGTTTGGTTGTTTTTTTCATTTGCAGGTCTTTTGCACTGGTTTTATTATAGTTCTGTGGCATCTTGAAAGCTCATACAATTTCAGATACTATATGTAAGTCACACGGGATATAAATTTCTAAAATATTTTCGTGAATGATCTGATAAGTCTAAAAATATTCCATTTCAATCCTGTTCAGCACAGCAAAATTCAGCTCTCTTGTTCTTAAATTTAACGTTTTGGGCTTTTGTGGAAAAATGCATTATTCATGTGCTCAGTTCAGATATTGGCTTCCTTAGGAATCTCCCTGCCGAGATGTCATAAGCTTGATTCAACTCGATGACATGGTTGGAATAAGAGTAGCCTGGAATGATGGATGGAGGGGTTCATTGTCTCAGCCACAGTTCATTGTGTGTAATTTTAATCCATCACAATATGAGAACAGCAACATTGATGTAACACTTGGTAGTTGGTCCATCTGTGTGGCCTTACATGTGTGTGCTAGCAGTATTTCTAGCTGGTAATTTTCACTCATAGATGGGTGCATGTTTTATTCTTCATCAAATTGTTCTTAATTTTTAAAATGTTCTGGTGACTGAATAAAAATGTTTGCTAGGAACATGGTTCTGTATGCCTTCCCTGATGGGGAGAAAACAGATTTTTCATCACTCTCTCATTCATATTTTCAGGAATAATTTAGTTGTGGGTTATGAGACCACTTCGTGTCTTTAGGGTGTTGTTTGCTTTTTGTTGGCAAAACGGAAAAGCCTTTATATTCTGCACTTTTTCCTTTTCCCCAGCGTATGTAGTACAGTGGCTAATAGCCACTATTAGCACAGGACCTCTCCAGTGTTATGTTGCTATCTTAACAGTGGACCCTGATGTTATGACAGCAAAATCGCAGCAGCTTTATTGGTCTATATTAAAAAACAAAAAAACCCCTACTGTACTGTAAATTGCAGGTTCTTTTTAATTACATTTTTAGTTGTACAATTCTCTCACCTAACCAAAATACTACTCCTGGGAAGATCCTGTATATAGAGAAAGTTGGAAATTTAGTCAGCAAGTGTTGATATTTTGATAAGCAAAAAAAATTAATGTCATTAAATAGTCATTAGAGTATTTGAATGTTGAAAAGGCAGAGATTCATTCACTATACGTGTAAAGATTCCCTTTTTAAAGTTTGAAAATCATGGCCAAGATCAATCACAGAAGTCAGCCTCTAGAGAACTGTTCAGAAATTTATGAGCACGTTTAAAAAAAATAAAATAAAACAAAACTGGTTTGAGTCCTGAAATTTCTACTGTAACTACAAGTGTCTCTGTCAGTCAACTACCTAAGAGGATATTTCTGCTGTGGTTGTTACTTAAATCCTCACTTCTGCTTTTGCCCCTACTTTAAAGATCTAGGATCCTAACACACTATTCTGCAGTAAAGTTGCCCCCAGTAAAAACCTATTTGCCAAAAGGGTACCTGATGGATCTACCTTTGCAGAAGTTGAAATAATAGGCTTGGTCTCCTTGCCATTAGTTTCCTTTTGTGTATTGAGAATATTTTGATGCATAAATTGCACAGCATGAATCTATACAGCCATGGTACAACTTTCACTGTCTGGCCCAACAGTCTTTTAAAGATTAATTTTAAACCAAAGGACTTTTTCCAGAAAATAAGTTTTACTTATACTAGTTTTGCATCAGATATAACCTTCTCTTTATAGTCTGCTGTAAATCAGCTGAGTTTATAATCTAGAAAAGAGATGCCCAATAATGAGAGAGGCTTGATTCAATACCCTTTTTGTTCAGGCTTGCTGCATCCCATTTATTGTTATCTCA